TCAGTCAGTCAGTCAGTCTGTCAGTCAGCCAGTCAGTCAGCCAGTCAGTGAGCCAGTCAGTCAGTCAGCCAATCAGTCAGTCTGTCAGTCAGTCAGTCCGTCAGTCAGCCAGTCAGTCAGCCAGTCATCGGTTAGTCAGTCAGTCAGTCAGCCAGTCAGTCCGCCAGTCAGTCAGTCAGTCATCGGTCAGTCGGTCAGTCAGTCAGTCAGTCAGTCAGCCAGTCAGTCATTCAGTCAGTCAGTCAGTCAGCCAGTCAGTCAGTCAGTCAGTCAGCCAGTCAGTCATTCAGTCAGTCAGTCAGTCAGCCAGTCAGTCAGTCAGTCAGTCAGCCAGTAACTATTATGCATTAGAAGAAAATCAGACATTTCAACATGTTGAGAAATGCTGTGTAACAAAAGGTGAGGTTTTCCATTCAAACAGGGTTCTTTAATAAAGTCAGACCACTGTTTTTTCTGTTCTAAAACAGTGTGTGTGATCAGATTTGAAGTCTGGCCTGAGTCTGTGTTTTTGCCAAACTGACATATGAATTATGTCCCCGTCTCGTGAGCCGCTAAATATAACCAGAGAACAGAGATCCACTTTCTGTGGGTCAGAGGTCAGACCCCGACACAGGCAGCTGGTCCAACATGGATTTTGGAGTTGGGCTGCATCAGTCAGACACAGAACACTTCCCTTGTTCCAGGCTGTTAAAATAAGTCCGACACGTTGGTTCTGTCGGATCCTGGATGCACTGGAGAATCGTCAGGGTTCTGTGGAAACAAGTGACGACACCTGTGGCTGCGTCAACACTGTGTTTGTTTTTACCAACATTGATTGGCTGTCACTCACTGATCACTGTCTGTGCAGGTCCACTGGAAACCCCTGGACTGGAGGATCTGGATCAGGTCTAAGACGGAGCCTCGATGACAAGATTCTCTGCACAGGGACAAAATGAGGTTAGCATTAGCGATGTGGTAACGTATTATGAAAACACACTCTTAAAGATAGCAGCAACATTTAGCTGATTTAGTTATATGGTAAAATGAAAAGTTATGATTGCTTAAGTTAGCGACTATTCTAGCCAGTCTGAAATTAAAAAAAAAAAAAGTTTGATGCCAAAGCACTGATATAGTTTAAACTTAGCCATGTATTAATTAATATTCACTGAAAAGTATTAACTAAAATAAACCTAAAAATGCTCAAATATGGCTAAAACACAACAAACGTAGACAGAAGTGTAAGATGATAATAAACTGAAAATTAGCATAGTCATAGAGTATCAAAAATATAACTAAATGTTAGCTTATCATACTAAGATAAATAACAAAAAACTAGCATAAGAATGTAAGGAAATAATAAAAAAAAAAGTTTATATCATAACAACTTTACCAAACAGGAAATGTTCTCATTGTGAAGGAAGAGCTTCTTGCGGTAAAAGCTGGACTTCACACTTTGCTTCCTCCTGATAAAACTGTATCTGACTGATGATTAAAAATCATTAGCTTCTCACCGGCCGATAAATGTCAAAGGTCAATCAGTTAACAGTTAATGACCTGCACTGATGTTAATAAACCCAGTTTGTTTACTGGGCTTTTTTCCAAAAACGACTAGAGACAATCTGCAGCCGACAAATATCAGTGATAAAAACGTATGAAAAAAGGTTTTTATCCTGTACATGTACGGCCCCTGTTGATCAGCCGCCACTTTAATGTTCACGTATTCCACCTTCTCTGGTCTGAGACCGTTGACTTCAACACTTCCCAGCATGCTGTGAGAATAAAAAATTAAATTATTGACTTTATCATTTCACAGCTTCCTGCTCAGTCAGTGCTGCGTGAACTGCTTCGTTCCACCTGTTCCTGTCGAAGGCGTTGACAATGGAGCCGTTCAGCAGCACGGTGACGTTGCCACACGCCGTTTCTGCAAACTGCAGCAGTGATGAGAGAGTGAGTGAGCGGGGGAAGTCGCACAGGGGCAATAATTCACAGAGTTGTACGAGGATGCGTGCGGTCACTGCGCTCACACTCTCAGAGGCCTGTCTCCACAGGGAGTACATCGGATGGTTCCTGCACGTGGACCACATGGGACATGAGCTGAAATCAAACCCTGCGAGTCACACAGAGGTTCAGCTGACACGGCTGATGACGAACAGATCTGAGTCAAAAGTAAGTATTCTGGAATACACGGCACCGACGGCATCACAGAGTCTGGTTGAGGACATTTTCAAATATGTCTAAATGTTACACAAAACAGATGAAACACTGTCCAAAGACAAGTTAGCTTAAAAAGTTAGCTTAAGTTAGTACAAAAAAAACCTGAGGTTGAGCCAAAAGATAAGCTAAAAGATGCAATGATTAAAAATTTAAAAAAGCTAACTATAAAAATAATTTTGCACAAGGCTAAAAATTAGCATAAAACAGAAAAAAAATGGATGAGTTTGGATTATTATAAACCTGGCATAGAGGACTACGGTCATGGTTAGCCTACAAAGCTAAATTTTAAAAGTAGCAAATACGGTATATCGCAAAACTTCAAAGACTCAAACTAGCTAACAGAATCTGCAAATCCATCCGACTGTATTGTTAATCTTTGGAATAGCTAACAACAGAGTTAGACAAGGACGCTAATGCTAATTGTAGCAGCTAATTAATTTTTTTTTTCTTATAGAAAAGGAGTTACAAAACGTATTGTAACTTCATGTAAATGTACTGAGGTTTTTTGAGGCAAATTACATGAGTAAAAATAAAACCAGCTGCAGGTGGATTATTTTATTTATTTAGAGGAATGATGTGGGGCATGTAATGTTTGTCTGCTAGAAAAATCCCCCAAAGATATCCTGTACGCAGATGACAATCAGGACTGTAGGCTACTGCAAACAGGTTCCCTGACGACTTTAACTGTGTGTGTGTTTATCCCTGTTTTCTTAGCAACTTAGACATAATTTAACACTAGCTCTAGTTCACAAGTTTTCATCCGCCAACCCAGTTTTATTGTTTATTACCTCTTGACACCACTAGAGGACTGACGACCGTTTTAAAACTTAAAAAACAAAAAAAAACAAAAAAAAATCTTTGCGGTATGTCTTGAAAGTGAGAGTAAAAAAACACACCAGGATTTTTGTGTTGTCCGCACCAGTGGAGGTCGTTGAACAGGAAGCCAATCAGTGTGTCCTCCAGGGTCCAGAAGGTTCCGACAGCAGCGGCGTAGCTGTGCATTAGCTTCCTGGTTTTACTCCAGAAAAGAGACTAAATAGGAAAAAAAAAAGTAGAATAAAATGAAACAAAGTCTACATGAGAGCAAAACTCGATGATGACCTCACACTGTCCTCACTCTGTGACATGGTCCACTCTGTGGAACGGTGTAAAATATTGGTAGATAGTCCACAGTCACGTTACATGAGGACTGAAGGACCACCGCGTCCTCAAACTGTCTCCACATCTTCACACAGTCCAACCTACGACATAGAACGACAACAATATTTACTGATTTTTTTATATTTTGTTTTTTGAATTTTATCCAGTTTGCCTTATCCATTTTTTAAATTTTTGATAGCATTTGGCTAACTCTGGGCTAGTTTCCTGTTATCTTTTTGTTTTTTGTTTTTCTTTCATCCACTTCTAGGCAAATCTGTACTTATAATTTATCTATATTTTAGTGGTTTAACATTTGGTCTAAGCTTTGATAATATTTTTTGCAACTTTGTTGATCTTTCGATAATATGGCTGTTATTTTATGCCTTTTAGCTAATGGCTAACTGGTTAGCTCTGACTCTTGAACACCAATGAATTTACTTTAATAACGACATGTGAATTAGTAATAAAATCAGATCTAAGTATTCATCAATTAATCAAAATACATTGGGGTTTTTTTCCACCTTAAACTGGGATCAATCAGAGCGTTGTAAACGTAACACCGTCCCACCACAATGTCCCTGATGTTGGGGGTGGTGCCGAGCTGTGACTTCATTTGAGCCAGGCCAATCAGGGACAGGATGGAACCTTTCAATAGGAGACAAAGTAAAATCGAAATTGTGTTGCGTGAAAGGCTGATCAAAGAGTTGATGAAAGAGTAACGATCAGGTTACTCACACGAAATCAGGCTGATCTTCGTAAAGGTCACTGCCGGGAAATGAGGATTCATGTCTGAACATGATTCCATTTTCTCCACTGTGAAAAGAAAACCTTCAATCAGTTTGGGATCAGGTCCAACTGTTACATTCTTTCAAATATCAAAAGCAGGTGTTTACAGTGTGTGTGGGATCTGATTGTCCTTCGACCTAAAAAAAAAAAAGAAAAACTCCCATGTTTCATCTTTCATCACAGTGACAGTTCCCTTCATCTTTGCTGGGTTCAGTGGTATTAGCTCAGTGGAGTTGGTCAAAGAAGACAAAGATCAAACACATGACGTCGCAATGACTGAAGTCCAGGCCTTTAATTTAAAACACATGACGTCGCAATGACTGAAGTCTTTAATTTACCTCCAAACATAAAAACCTGAAGGGACCCTCTCAAAATATGTCTTCGTTTTTTTTACTCTTTCATTATCTTTACCTTACTTGTGCTAACCTTTAGCTGTTGAAGGCTAACCTTTTAGCATCGGGGTCATTTTAAACCATCTTGGCAGTATTTGGTTATTGTTAGTTAGCAAAATCTGAGGATTATTTTTTTCTTTTAGACTAACTTTTGACTTTCAGACTAACAACCACATATTTCTAAGTTTCGAATAGACTAACAACCACATATTTCTAAATTTCGAATTTCTTTTTTTGTCAATTTAACTTTTATTATAAGCTGCATTTTCTTTTACTGCTGCTGATATCAGTAATTTATTAAATGTTAAATAAATCAATGACAAAACTGGGATTTTTAAATACTTTTCTCTTTGTTATCTGACTGCAGTGGTGTTTTGTAAAAATCAGTAAAAAGGTTTTCTTTAGAAACATTTGTGGATTAAAGACAGCATTTTTTTTTTGGTCCCTGAATAAATGTCACCATAACCTGTGTATTTTTTCACCACCTAACCAAGGAAGTGCAGCTTAAGTTTTCTAAACGAAAAAAAAAAAAAATCGACATCCCTGACAAGTAACGATTAACTCGTTGGCCGACCTTTAGACAACAATATCGCTCCCAGCATTTCAATTAAAAGCTAAATATTTTCCATTCAGACCTGAAAGGGCACGCAGTCATAACAGATGACAGATAAATGACGGGCACTTACTCCACACTCACAGTTTCCCAGGCAGGACGTTGCATGGCCCGGTCTTATGGGTCGTGTACTTACTTCTTTGTCGTAGTTCTGACCGAGCGTGCTCCACGCCAAACCCACAGAGACTTTCTCATACTGGACAGCTCTTGTCCAAATAACAAACAGCCAGATCCACATGACTCCCATTATGGTGGCGCTCTGAATCAGGCCACACAGTGTGAGTGAGAGTTCCTGAAGACACAGGAGGAGTAAAGTCGTCTGTTTTTAAGACATGAAGAAATGCAGAAACATTTGTCAAAAATGTTTACTCAAATTTGATGTCTATAATTTAACTTGACAGGCAGAGGGAGATGGCACAATCTGTCTTAGCATTTGGAATAAGTACTAACAGTCTTCCTGCCCAGAACCCCCCCCCAGTAGATCTAGTCTGGGGGGTTGAGACAGACCCCCTGACCCATACAGGAGCTGATCTGTTTAAATCTTGTCAAGTATTTGATTCATAATCTTTTCCTGTTCTTGTTTTTTTTTCCTCACCACGTGCTGTTGTAATACCCTTGTAATGCTCCGTATGTCCACTGAGGGGTGCCAACTTTTTTTTTTTTTTTTACGGCCTGTTACAGTTATTGCCAGAAAAGGATCAGTCAATAACAACAACAACAACAACTAACGGGAATTGAGATGCTCGGCATCACACGTGTTTTTACGAGAGGTTTTCTTTGTTTGTTATTTTGAAAAGATAAACACACACACAGGAATCTTTCACTAAAGTTTCTCCCGTTACCACATCCTGACAGCGTGTTGCCCAGTTGCCCAGAGCGGCCCTCTGGGCAACATATCATCTAGTTTTCTCTCTAAATGACCCATATCTGCACCACTTCTGTTTTGAATGGCATGTGGCAATGCTGTGGCCGACTTGTGGCCCAGATCTGGCAAAAGAAGGAGTGGACCACCTAGGCACCATCGCTATACATGGTACAAATTAGAGTGACTGTGTTCCAGTTTTTCAGCTCTATGGGCCATGACGTTTCCAGTTTCTGCTGAGACCAAAATATATTTGCTACTATTTCAAGGCTATCACAGAAATGGATGTAGCCCTGCAGCATATGGACACCAGTGTGGGCTGCAGAGTGGGCTGAGGGTCATCTGTAGGTTAGGATTAATAAACAGCATCTAGTAAAAAAAAAAAAAAATCTGGCATATACTGGGCTTCACTTCTGCAGCTGCAAAATCATTTTTGTGAACATCTACCTGTTTCATATTTACCGCATTCAACTTATTGAATTCTAACAAGGTGAAAAGATTTTTTTTTTTCCCACGACTGTCTGTGTTGAAACGAGTGTGGACACGGACAAATCCCACCAACGTCCCTTTTTTGGCTTTCACAACAGCAGCTATTTGTACATGAGCCTTGTTGCAACCAACTGTTCAAAGAGGCTGACGTTCAGTTTTTGTAAGAGACAAAATGTACAAAACAGTTTGTACATTTGTATTTGGAATCCAGAGTAGGAAAATCTAATCTTACTTTAAGAGTTTTACTTTTCATTATGTAACTTTATTTTTTTAAATGCAAGGCCAAGGCAAGTGGATATACAGTATGGCCATAATACAAGCTAAAATCCTGTATTTTCAACACATTTTTAGAACATAAACGCCTCATTAATTTGATTATTGTACAGGAATCCAAGGCAGAAATACCAGATCAATACTTGATGGAAAAAGATATTAAATCTCGTTGTAGAAAGTGCCTCTCAAGTTTACTTGATTCTTATTCTTCAGCCTCAAGTCTCAAAGCCACAAACAAATTCCACTTTGGTTCAATATTTGCCTAAATGTTGCCAGACTCCTTATTACCCATGAATATAAATTCGTTTTGAGTTTCTGCCGCCTTTTGGAATGAAGTCCTTACGAGGTGAGATCTCTCAGGGAGTACGGATGAGAAAGTGCCCTTGTGTTTTGGAAGCTAATTGCATAGTTAGCGTTCTGCGCAGGAAAACACAGCTTCTCCCCGGAGCCGCTGGAGCTTATTGACAGAAAATGCTCTGAGGTTAAGTAGCTGGATATATTCTCGAAGCAGAGGCTGTGGAAGAAAAACAAAAATACTTAGGATGGAGCTGAAAGTTACAAATCTGTAAAAAATCAATGTTCACACACGGCTAAAACTGACAAACTAAATTATACAGGAAAGTTCATACAGTAACATCATCCTTATTTAATGTATTTTTTTCTTAGTAACTTAATTATTTAAACACTGTTTTCTTGAGGTAGTAAACTGTACTGCCTTTAACCACCATGTTTATCAATTAATCAGTCTTTAAGTTGTCATGGAGCCAAAAATACTCGATCATTTTATTTATTTATTCATTCTTATTCTTCTGTTTTTCTTTGCTTCAGTCCCACTTTTTCCTGCATTCTCTCCTGTTAGACAAACCACCTTTCCACCTTAAAATGTCTCTTCCATCTTTGTTTTTTATCACCCTAACCTGCTACATAGCCCTACTTGCCTCTCTCAGAGGCATCTCCTTACCTTCACAGGTATGTCTTCTGAATTAATATCAAATGTCATTCTATCCTTACAGTCCAACTTGTCAGTGACGGATATTATACTTTGTCCTTAGTGTTAGTGTTTCAGAAAGTTTGCAGCACACAAAACAACAGCAGTTGAGATTCCTTCTCTCTGAATTTACATTTTCCGGATGTTTCTGTCTGAATCAGTCCCAGTCTGGGAGTCAATGACCCTCTTCCTCCTTGTCATCACACCCTGGAGTTTAAGCTGCCACACCATCATTGCTTAGATGTTTACCAGACGTGAGACAACTCCAACATCTTAAACAGCTTCTGTTCAAAGTCTCCTCGCGGCTGCCTTTTTGACCTCCTGTTTAGTGACAGGTCTGTTTACAGACAAGTTCAAAAGGGTTATTGTGGGTGAAAAAGTAGAATTAAATCATTTTATGTTAACTTGTGATAACTTTTAGCTATTTCTTAGTAATTAAATATTTAAAATTAAATTAAATTAAATATTCCATGCGAACACAGTCATTGAATTGATCGATTTTTGACATTTTTTACACTCGTAAAACTGTAATTTACAACAACTACGTTGAGACGTAAATGCATCACAAATATAACCAATCAAAGACAGAGATTTCTCCCGGATGGCAGAAGTTGACCAATGAGAGTGAGGATTTCCTCAGTCCCACCTACCCTTCGAGAGAAGTATATTGACAAGTTTCCCTGTCTGCAGGTGGGTGTGTTAGCATCACATTTCATATATGGCCTGGTATAACGTGTTTTTTAACTTAGCCAAGCCTTATATAGGCGTGACCTTGGTATTTTTTATTTAATTTATTGTTTGTAGGAGTTGTTGTCTTCCACCGTCGGTGTCGCTCAGTCCTTCTAGGAAAGCCGATTAGCACAAGAAGCTAACTTAGCTCAGACGCTATCACAGGCTGCATATGTTTACTGTAATTATTGGCTTTTATAAGAGGTTTATCACTTGTTTTTATCATAGCTGTTCAAGCAAGAATCCATTTCTTATACATTATAATTCCAGTTCAGTGAATTTTCTTTCTTTTTCTTTGCAGGTCACGGACGTTGACAATATCAGTATTTTCTTTTAATCATCATGAGTGATCCTTGGCAGGAGTGCATGGACCATTGCATAGAGGTCACCAAAAAGGCTGGAAAAGTGAGGAAAAAAAAAACAAAAAAAACCAGATGAAGCTGCACTGTTCCTTATTTGGCCTGGAAACCCGTGTGTCTTGTGGATCATCATTAGAAATGCCTAGGGACAGGGTGTTGTTCATAGTTTTTAATGTCATTAAATATAATCGGCTACAATTTCAGTTACTCTTCTTCGTGCATGAGAAACATAGGAAGAATTTAACTCTGTTATGGTGTCCCAGTTTACCCACAACAATTATTGGTCATTTATGTGAAAAGTAGGTTTTTGTAAATAATAGGCATTAGAAAGTCAGTTTCAACACATTTGGACCATCATTGCTGATGATGTTTGTGGCAATGAATAGTGGCTGGTATGCAAAATAAATAATAATAATAAAAAAAGAAAGCCTAGGCTGACTCTGTTGTTGTTGTCGTTCTCCTGGTAGATGATCCGTGACGCGCTCCAGAAGGACATCGCTATCATGCAGAAGAGCTCGCCGGTCGACCTGGTGACTGAAACGGACCAGAGAGTGGAACAATTAATTATATCCTCCATCAAGGAGAAGTACCCCACACACAGGTACCTGGTTTGATGTGGATGTGTGATTTTTTTTTTCATGCCCTTTATGTCTTTTTAATGACACTAGGATCATTTAAATATACACCTTGCTTGATGTTTTTAATTTAGGCTTTTTACTTGTTTGCTTTTTTTATGCTGTGCTGTTTTTCAGTGTATATTTTTTCCCCTTTTTGGCATAAAGTTACCTGACAATTTAATTTAGTAATTATATTTTTACACATTACATCTTGTTGTTTAACTGTTGTGTTACTCCTGACTGCAAATGTAGTGTTTGCCTTTTTTTTTTTCAAACTTAAATGTAAACAAGGTTGATATTTATTTGCCACAGAACCCTGTCCAAAACTTGATTTTTTGAATTTTGGTCAAGCTTCATAGGTGAGGAGTCCGTAGCAGCAGGCTCCCCGAGTGTCCTGACCGATGACCCCACCTGGATCATTGACCCTATCGATGGCACCACTAACTTCGTTCACAGGTACTAGTACTGTCTGTTCTTAAATTATCAACATCCGCACAGGAACCACTCGGGTTGGTTTTATCTTTGCCTTTTCCCTTACTATTTTTATCTTTTAATTAGCTCCTCTGTACAACTGTCCTCTCTGTCTGGGATAATTAGACAACGTAGATGAAACTGAGCTCCTGATTGGAACCGATTCCTCTGAGCTTTAACCGATGGGGAGTTAATTAAAGGGGTTTTTCATGTTCTAAATTCTCTCCTTTTTTCTCTGCAGGTTTCCATTTGTGGCTGTGTCAATAGGCTTCACTGTGAAGAAAGCCGTAGGATTTTTTTATATATATATATATCTCTATAAAGAGATTATATTTTCTCTCCCACACACCACATTAATGCTGCTGTCTCTTTGCCTTGGTTCTCAGATAGAATTTGGTATTGTCTACAGCTGCATTGAGGACAAAATGTACACGGCCAGGAAGGGAAAGGGTGCGTTCTGTAACGGAGTTCCAATCAAAGTGTCTGGACAAGAAGGTACACGTACAAGTCATTTTTCATTAATGATGCAGTTTGATGAAGAAACCACCAGGTGGAGCCAAACTCCCTCTCATTATCTTATCTTGTGTTTTCAGACATAACCAAATCTCTGGTCCTGACTGAAACGGGCTTCAAGAGCAACCCTGAGCACTTCAAAACCATGACAGCCAACATCACGGCCATCCTCAGCATCCCTGTACACGGGTACATTTGAACACAGCACACCTGGCAGATAACAGTAGCCACAAATGTGAACTACTGTTAGAGAAGTAAAAACCGGCTTAAAAGTGAACTACTGTTAGAGAAGTAAAAACCTGCTAAAAAAAACAAAAACATTACATGTAGATCGGTTAGTCTTTTGTAATGAAGAAAAAAAAAATAATGCTGTTGAGACTTGATTTACCAAACGATCCATGGTCTGGTCCTCAGCCCAGTGGTTGGGTACCCCAGATTTATTGTGTATCACATGCACTGTAACATGCAAAGAAATTAAAGACAGAACTACCAAAGAATTAAAATGTTATGGTAAAAACACTAGTATATAAACCTGGTATTGGTTAAATGGTCGTAGTATTTACTAGAGCCACACTTTTAGAACTCAACACAACAAATCTCGTGCACTTCTGCAGTACACATCTTCGATTTCTCTTCTCCAGAATCCGATCCCCGGGCAGTGCAGCCGTCAACATGTGTTTGGTAGCATGTGGCTCGGCTGATGCCTATTACCACATGGGCATCCACTGCTGGGACATGGCCGGAGGGGCCGCCATTGTTACTGAAGCAGGGGGAGTCATCATGGACATTTCAGGTAAGTCGCTGATTAAATGTGAGCACCATAGAAACGAGCGCCGCTGCTGAACTTTTCAAAGGTCTTAGAGTCTCTGGGTGAAGCAGTGATGTAGCCGTGCAGCAGGCTGATCAGGCTGGAGGGGAGAGGGGGGGGAGGAGAGGGGGTGTACTGCACTCAGAGGACAAAGAGTCGGGAGAGAGTCTCTCTCTTCTCTCTCTGTGCAAATATGACAAATTATTAATGACAATAAAACATTTATTGTTACAAAGCCTCAGTGTTGGGTATTGATCTTTCCATCCTGCTTCAAAATGCCGGAGAATCTCTGTCTGAGTTCCCTCGTCTGGGTTGATATAAACGTCTCTAAAGACTGGCCACTCGTGATTGGTTCCCACCAGCCTGCTCAAACACACATGTAAGACATGACTGTTTATATTTACCAGTTATATCTGTATCATCTGTCACTTATACGGTGTATACTATGTGTCAAAATATAACAAATCTTCAAACTTTAAGGACTTGAAATTGACCATTGAAACTGAAACTGAAACACTGTAGTGACACCTGCTGACAGTTCATTAATTTGGTGCGACCCCAGGCTGTCGTGACGTGATTTGCAGATGACAAACTATTCTCTTGAATGAACAACAATGACCAAAACTTCAGTGACATTTACGACTAAGACTCTGACTTGAAATCTCTTGTCTCTCAAGTCTCTTGACTCAAATCTAACTTGGTCATGGTGGTGGTTTTCCAACAACAGAACCCCCCCGCCCCCACCCCCCACTGTGTTTATTTAAAAGTCTGCAGTAATAAAGGAGACACAAAACCTTTTTCGACTTCAAGGCTCTTTCATCCTGGAGGGCGGCGTTACAGGAATGAGCCGAGACCACATCGCTCCCCCGTCTTTAGACTAAGGCGAACTAGCGAAGGTCGTAGCGCCTCACCTTCTTACACCGTTTCTATTTATTATTCATCCTGAAAAATATGAAAAATTGACCCCGACCTCATAAAACCTGCTTGTACACAGATGAGCGAGCATCTGGGAATGAAACGCTCGGCGTTGGTTTCACTCACCCGGCAACACTTCCATCGGTGCTTATTGAGATTCAGCGGCGCGTCTGCAGAACAGTCAACCTAATGACTAATAAGTCGGATGAATAACAAGAATGATCAGTCCTTTAATGTAGACGCTCAGTGGCTTCCAAATAAAACATTTGGCCGTCACTCTGAAGAGCCAGTCGATAGGTTGTCACTTCATGGTGGTAACCTTGAGGTTAAAGCTCTTAGAGGAGATTAAAGTGTCTGAGATTTAATTTACTCTTTGGGTTTTTTTTCCCGTCTCTCCCCCGCTGTCTGATTTAGTAAAATATGAAACACGTGATGTGCCATTTTCCACCTGGTGCCTGAATATTATACAAAGATACTATTGACTTTCCATCAGTGAAGTGGTTAAACATGTCGGACGATAGGATTACGAAAGACGTCCTTGGATGTTAGCCTTCATCCGTGACCCCCACAGGGATAAATGTTGGGGGTCAAAATGACATCTGCCAATCGCTCAATATATGGTGATAATTAATCGCAGTTGAAATGACAGGGATAAATGTTGGGGGTCAAAATGTGCCAATCGCTCAATATATCGTGATAATTAATCGCAGTTGAAATATTTGTAATTAAATCACGATTTAAAAAATTTAATTGTAATTAAATCACGATTTAAAAAATTGAATCACGATTATTCACAATTACAATATTTGATCACGATTAATCATCATGTATTCATGAATACTCGCATGAAAGTCCATCGTTAACTGACAATTAATTTGTATAGAAGTCATTCACGCTCGTTGTCCGCTCCCAATTCCCTTTCGTCCTCGACTTTATCCTCTGTTTTTCGCTAAATGTGATCGCCGTTCAACAAAACTGACTTCACATTTAAAGAGAAGTTGAGCTGAAACTGTGATAGTGTTGTGAGAACGCCGCGTTCACTGGACTCCAACACAGGTATGTACTGTATGATTCAGTCCACTCCTTATATACAATCTATGATTTAATGTTGACCTGCGGCTATTGATGATTAATTAATGCGGGAATTAATTTTTTTTCGCTTTGACGAAATAGTTATCTAAACAGAAGATCATAGAAAAGGTCGTTTAAAGGGTTAATTTAATGGAATCACGTCCCTAGCCCTCATTTCTCTCTCGTCACCAGGTGGTCCATTTGATCTGATGTCCCGGAGGCTGATTGTGGCGAGCAGCAGGGCGGTGGCCGAACGACTGGTGAGGGAGATAATCGAGTTTGACGTCGGCAGAGACGATCAGTAAACGTCCACACATCGTCCACAGCTGCTGCGGACAGGACTCTTCACATCAGGGCTCAGTATTTGCCTTAAAACTCACCCAAAAATGAACCTACCTCTGAAGATGAGTGTTGTAGGATCCATCCATCCTAACTTCTGCGTTCAACAGAGAGAGAGATTCCAGTCCTGCAGGTGTCGTTTTACCTTTTATCCTTTATTAGGTGAGGGTCAAAAAATCATGTATTCTATAGATGATCAAATATATTTGTGCCCGTTGTTTGTTTTTATTTTTCCGACATTAATGCTTTCTTTTATAATATCATGTATTAGTTTTAATTAAGTTAAATGTGTTTTTCACTCTAGGTTTTGCACTAAAGATTAAAGGACTTTCGTGTCCGTCACACTCTGTGTACTCCTGCCTGTCTTTGATGCCACAAAAATACAGTTTTGTGGTTGGTCAGCCTTCTCCCTTCTTGCTCTGTCATTCCAACATACGATGTTTAAAGTAGTTGTCGAGTGGAGCGGATGAATACGTTGTCACGTAGCGCTGTACGCAGACGACGGCTTTGTTTACATTCGCCACTTGTATTCCATACACTGGACTTTGCTACATTTGCTTTTTTTCGTTTGTGTTTTTTGGGAACTCTTTGCCCTTCGTTACGGCTCTCACGAGTAAGTCAGACCTGTCTGATGTTTTGATGTCCTAGATTATGAGGTTACACCTGTGTTAGTGTAGGGGAGTTCCGACTTTTGGAACCACTTGACATGTCACCTATACATGTCTGTGTCTGTGTTCCCAGGACATCCATGAATATACAAACCTCAAACTATGTGGACTCCTCTTCCTGTCCTCCCATGTAAAGGACAGGAAACCCACGAACAGGAGACCTCTGTCTGAAGGTCCATAAAACACTAAGAGAAACGTCCAGTCCCCTGCTGCTGCTGCTGCTGCTGCTGCTGCTGTTGCTGTTGATATAAAAGAGATAAAATCATTCACAGGCTCAGCACGAAGTTAAAGTCTCTGCTGCAGTACCTCTGCCCTTTCGGCGGCTGCAGCAGATGTTGCCCATCCACCCGAGTTTCTCTCTCCACGGACCCATCGCTCAGTTCTTTTTATTTTTTATTGGTTTTTTTTTTCCTCCTACCCCCAACCGGTGTTTGCTGATGACTAACGAACGGCTTGAAAACACTTAACTTGAGCAAACCCAGCTCTCCTCCTGTGTTTCCGCTCCAGAGTGATCAATGGTCCATGTTGGTCTGCGGCGACTGGTTCAGGACCAATTACCAATGTTGGGATTGATTTCTGGGGTCGGCCAACTGGAAGCCAGGTCTCTCTTCTTGCCACACAACCTTCTTAACCCAACATTTACTTTCTGGATTTCTTCTCGTTGTTCTTCTGTGGTGATTGTACTTTTAGGATGAATGATGATTGGAAGATACAAACAAACTTTACTAGATTGTTTATTCTAACTCCGAATGGAATATAGAAGGATTTTTTTTGGTAATAATTCAAACTCTCTTTGTGAAATGAAAGCTTCCAAACGTACAGACACTGCAGCACATGCAAAGTAAATCCAGTGATGCCCCAAATGTCCTGGGAAAAAGCTGGTAACTTTTTTTTATTTAAAATGATCTTGTGACCTTTCCTAAGTTCTTTTCTCTGTACCGTTCAGTAATTCTTCTGCTTTGTTCCCCGACCTTGACAACCTGGTGACATCTCTCTTTTAGAACTTTGCTCATGTATTTAAAAAGACAGACGCGTCGGAATAAGAATTGAAATAACATCGGACAAATATTTACCTACCAAAGGTCTTGGAACAAAACTTGGAGGTGGAAAAATGCACTAAAGGTAGTCAGACATCGTGAGCGTTTTTCTTTTTTTTTTTTGTTTGCCATAAGAATGTTTTGAGTATTGAATTATCATGAAATAAACCCCGCAGACTCTTGTTGTTCCTGCTCATCTTTCAAGTGGAAGCGTTGACCTTCAGCCTACTGACAGGCCTCAGTTAGAGCCTCCATTTTCGACAACCAAACATCCATCATCCCGAATAAATTATTCATAACGGACCTGCCGGGGAGACGGCGCAGCTGATGTATTTGTTTTGCTTGTTCTCTTACTTCTCTCTG